CACAGCATGAGCATTGCATATTCGCGAGGCAGCGGCATTTGTCGGATCTTGAACGGCCGAACTTACGCCGCTGTGGAGCGAAGGCAGCGTTCCTTGCTTGAGTCCCACTCGCAGCCCAGTTCTCGGAATCGGGCGCACAATTTGCAGCTTAAATAGAGCGTGCATTCTTCGGACTGGATGCGAGCGAGAGACAGCGGGCTGCCCACCACAGCCCAACCCTGACAAACGGGAGACGGCAGGAAACCCAGCCAGTTGATGAATGCGTTGCGTGCGGTGGGCGCACTGGTGAAAAAGGCACGCAGGAAGGCACACAGGCCACTTTACCTGGTGCAGCAAAATATTGTTGACTGGCTCTGTCGTCTCAAATAAAGGAACCTCGCGGAGTAAAGTGGCATTCTCGCCGATGACCGCCACCTGATGGAGCTCCCCAAAGTCTGGTGATGCAACAAGCATGGACACTTATCCCTGCATTTCTACTCTTCTGAAATATTTCTCACTCTTACCTGTTCCGAGGTGCAACAACGCTTCCCTTTGGCCCTCTCTGCGGCCGATCAGCGTGACGGCCAGTTTGGTGTACGCGACTCCTTTTCTGACCAGCAGGGGCGCTGCGTTGACACTCTGCTGCATGAGGGGGTGATTCCTCACGTAAGCCAACAGGTTGTCGGGGATTTTTAGGGAGGAGTCAAAGCCCTGCGCCCTCAGCGCGTTGTTCAGACACTTTCGATGTTGGGGGAGGAAGGAAAAGACCGTGAGAGTGATGACGTGTCACGTGATCAGAAACACCAGCCAACATCTACAACTGCAAATGGGAGAGTAAATTTAAAACGTAAGATGTTGTTTCGGTTAATATTCATTTTTTTCAGCATTTATTTGGTTTTTATTTTATTTTATTTGAAAATTTAATTGTTATTTTTTGTGAACTATAATAACCTTGGTGTGAACTGCTCCAGTGTTATTGGACGGTGGTTTCTTGAATTGTAACATAATGAGATGGAGCGTTGAGAAGTCAGTACCTGGCCAGGCCGCGGCAGGCCCACCGGCGTGGGCGTGTCGGTTTTGTCGCTGCGCTTCTTAAATGGGCCGTTCATTGCCGCGACGATGTCCAGCACGCTGAAAACGCACACTGCCGACTGCTCGGGTTCCCTGGAGAGCAGGCGAGACGACAGAACGGTCCCAGTGAAACTTAAGACGACGTGGCGGGCTCGAGGGCGCTCCCGCAGCTTACCACTGTGTGGTAAAGAGTCCATAGAAGTGCGTGCTGCTGGCTTCTCGGGGCGAATGTCGCAAGGTGAAAACGTCCACCAGGACATCGAAGCGCTGATGTTGCAATTTGTCCTCACAAACCAGCTCCGCCTTGAGGAAGGTGGTCCAATGCTGCTGCAGGGTCCTGAGACCTCCCACGTCGGACTGAAAGCAAGAGAAATGTTTGCATCAATTGATGCAATGTAAGAGTCCGATAGATGCGCCGTTCACTGAGGTGTCGTGATGAGTGCCAGAGTCAGCTGCAGCAGCAGCCAATTGTATTGCAGTGAGGCATATCCTGCTTCACTGAGACATCCCAAGGCCTCTCTAAGTCAATCATATCATACATCGGATTGCAAAGTGGAGAAGTTGACAGCTCGTCTCGAAGAACTGATCGCCATTTGCCAGTTGTTGGCCATCGGGAGCTCTGATGAAAGACTCATGGCTGACTGAATTGTTCTCAAAACAACTATTATTTTGGATTCTTTCTAGTAGATGCTGTGCCACCCCGATGCTGGAGTCCCCGTTATTTCTTCATTTTCCTGTGTCCCGTGTTACTGTTTGGGAGCTAGCAGAGGGTCATCTCCATGGCAACGAGCCGATGTGTCGGCGTGACGCTGGGACAAAGGACTCAGACTCACGCGTACACACTTATATGATCACACAAATGCAATACGCACTTTATTATCAACCAACGTCCTTGTTTGCTTCCCCCTGACTGCTCTCCTTTCCTCTATTATGGTTCACCTGCAGATGTGACGTGGTGGCGCTCAATGGGTTGTGACCCCTGCCGTCTGCAGAAAGGCTATAATGCCCCCAGATACTCGTCTGTGCCTGTTTACTGAGTTTATTTTCCAAATCCAAAATGTGCTCCCCTTACAGGAGCTCAGTCTGGGGCTGTTTTTTTTATTTTTTTAATTTCCCACCCACCCCTCTGCTAAAGGCAACCTGTTGGATTTCCATTCTGGATCCTCCTGTTGGTCATTGTTTTTCTATGTTTCCTGGATGGGTTGTATCCGTTCCATTTCATACACCCTGTGGTACAATGACTAAAGCAATTCTGATTCTGACGCT